TGGAAATGGCAGCAGGATCAAGTGCTGTTGTGGCAATCTCAAGATATTTTGCCGTGACTTTTATTCAGAATACTGGCAGAGCTGATGTCTCGAACATACGTTTAAGGCCACTGTCATTTGTGATCTCCAGGAGTTGATCTTGTTCTTGCACGGACATGTTGTCGTCTGGTTTATTGACAAATGGGTTGCAGATCCATTCCTTGTCAGTTTGTGGGTCTTTTGTGGTTGGGAGGTCGCCCTGGAACTCTTTTAAAAGCAAAGACAGGTGATCATGCACCATCTGGGAGAATTAATGCTCAGGCTGAGTCTCTTCCCAAATCCCTGACAATGTTTGAAACATATCAGATATGCCTCGGTTCACACGTCGTCTCCACAAATCCAGTTTGGTTTGAAATGCTGCTACTTTATCTGCCAACTTGAAGACAGTTTTCATTTTCCCCTGAAAGGACAGACTGAGCTCACTGAGCAGGCTCAATACGTCACACAAGTAAGCAAGTTTTCTGACCCACTCCTTGTCACTGAAATGTGCTGCCAGCAGTGATTTCTTTTCTGAGAGAAATCTCTGCAGCGGCTCTTGTAATTCAAACACTCTGACCAGCGATCTCCCTCAGGATAACATCTTATTTCAGTGAGTTAAGGGCATGTGCTTTGACATGATTCATAACTTTAACATCAATCACCATTTATTCAATACATTGTTAAGTTCTGGTGGCATTTTTTGACTAGCCAGCATTTCTCTGTCAATGATGCAATGAGTAGATTCACATTCAGGTGCAACCTCCTTAATCCGAGCAGTTAAACCTGACAGTCCGGTCATGGAAGCAGCTCCGTCTGTGCATATGCCGACACAAAAAGACCATTGAAGTTTCCTAATGCACAACTATCCACTTGAATAGTTCTGCGGCTGTGGGTTTGGTTGTCAACAATAGTGCACATCACACATCCTCATGCACATCCTCCTGATAAAGGACTCACACATAAACAAGTCATTTTGCCTTGTTGTCCACATCTGTAGACTCTGTAGACCTGCAGTGTTTACCACAGTGATGAGTTAATCCTGCTTCTGTCCTTTTGCCTGCTTTTTTCTTTCAAAATACTCCAAAGGCTTGTTTTTTTTTTGTTTTTTAATGCAGGGTGCTTGGTCTCCAAGTGGTGAAGCAGTTTTGAGGCTTCATTGCCTCATTGCAGAGCAGATCACTGCACATTATGCAGAGCGGGTTTGGTGCATGGGAATCACCAGTTGTGACAAATCCATATTTTAAGTAGGTCTCCTGGTATTGTTTATTATCTAGTTTTAGTTTTTTTTCGTGGTCATAGATAGACTCTTCTTCTGTCTCCTCACTGGGCCTTTTCTCCTTTGCAAAAAAACATTTCCAAAGACGTCTGTTTTTACTCATTTACAATACAATACAGTTGTATATTTTATTATCATGGTTTAATATTAGTGTTGATGTACCACGTGACCGTGTCTTGACCTGCGTTAAGACTGAGTCATAGACGGATGTAAAATATAAATGAAATAGAAATAATGTAAGTTATTTATTCTTTTGCGGTCTGGTACCAAATGACCCATGGCCCCAGTACCACAATCTGGTCTTGGAATGTGTAACTTAGTAAACTTTATTTTTATTTTTATGATATGGAAGCCTGTGCTTTACATTTAAAACATTTAGACTCGTCTATGATTTCAAATAATACAAAATCTTACCAAATAAAAATGAGACAGAAACCCCACAGTCTCTCTCCCCCGCACCGCCACCACATCCACAAACCCACAGAGGAACGCAACCGCAACATCAGTCCCACCGCTCAATAGACACTTCATGCTGCGCAGGTGTGAACACGGGCAACAGAACCCCAGGCAACAGCGCCCGAGCACGACACGATCCAAAAGTCCCACCGTAAGTGTGTCTCTAGTACAACAGGCGCTGGGACAGACAGTCACACTGACGGGACGTCCCTGAACAAATCCCACACCTCAGTAAAAAGAAATAAAAACTGTTGTGTCCTGTGTGTTATATACGTATATTATTTATCCGATACCTGATCGGAACATAACGTCCGAGTCCAGATTGAGTCCGCGGTTACTTGATCCGCGCCGATTTCCGATCACGTGATTGGATCGGGACAACCCTACTGTGGGTCTCATGTGGGGACAGAGGGGGAGTGTCGTATCCAGTTCAGTCCATGCAGGCTAATCCCAGCGACATCCTGTTAACATCATGTTTTTCCAGGTACTTATCAACACATGTGACCCCAAGCAGCTTGAAATCTGCCTCCTGAAAAATACAGTCAACTGAAGCTCCAATGTTCATACTATCATCAAAAAACTTGACCTCAGAAAGTGTTGGGCTGTAAGTCTTTAATAAATAAACTTGTTCAGAGGTTCTGCTGTATTTTGTGTGATGCGATAGATAGAAATAAGTAACAGAAAATGAGAATATCCAAATGGATTGAAAAATATGCTGCAATATGAATATAAATTATTTTCTGCATCTAC